GTGGGAGTGGATGATTCTGTGTCAGGCTGGAGGGGAGCAGGGCAGACACGGCTGCTGCTGGCAAACCCAGGCAATCAGAGCCAGTAAAGCAGAACTGGCTCGAGGAAAGGTACAAGTGATAAAAATGACAAATGGGGGGGGGAGGAAGGGGATGTACTAAGAAAAACCTTGAAAGCAAGGACAGAGATTTAAATGCAAATTTCCTGAAACAAAGGGAGGCCAGCCGAAGAAATGGAATCTGAAGGATGAGGAGGACTTAAACTTTATGCCATAAGCAACAACATATTATCAGCAATGGAATTTGCAAGAACTAGGGGATGGGAAAACACAGCTTAGGTATTAGAAGCTGCAGAAGAAGTAATCACCATCAGTATGGGATGTGAGGGTCTGCACAAGAATTTCAGCAGTCTAGACAGCAAGAAAAAATAATAAATTTAAAAAAAAAAAATAAATAAAAAAAGAGAGAGAGAGAGAGAGGGAAAGCAGACTTGACCTGGAATTTATGGAGGAAACAATAGTAAAGTCTAGGACACAAAGTCTCGCAGAATAGATAAAAACCACAGACAACCTGCAGGTTACAGGCTTGTATGAAAGAAAAATATATACTGATTGTATCTGTAATAGGAGACCAATGAGAACATGTATGCTTTGTGGACTTTTAAGAGTCAGAATAAGTCAATAGAGAGGGGATAAGAGCCGAGAAACAGATCTGATCCCAATCAACTGTGTAAAAAATGACAGTATAAATTAAAAAGTGAAGCACCTCAAAAATGAAAAGGATTTAAAACTTAGAAAGCCTAAAGCCCCAAAAGACACTATCAGCTCTGTAGAGCTCCAGAAAGACCCTGAGAAAGAAACAGGACCCACTCAAGAAGCTGCTGAAAGATTGTATGACAAGAAGGAGGAAAAGTAAGAAAGGCAGGCCAAGGAAGGCTCAGGAAAGTCTTCACTGACAGTACCACAATCTAATGTTCAAGAATGATGACAGAATTCAGGTGATGGATTTTAGCCAGGAAAATGCCACTGAAATGTCACAAGAACAACTCCAATGATGAGGAAAAAGCTAGGCTAGCCAAGAGGAGAAGGTATGATAGGATTATTAGAGTTCTGAAAGCAAAGCCTGAGAGACACAGAAATGGCTAGAAAGTGAAGGAAAAGCATTAACTGGATTAACATTTTCTACTTTGCTTTTTTTTAAATTAAAAAATACCCTTATTCAACGTATTAGTAAAAAATAAGAAATGCTTCTCAGCTCCCACCCATTTCTGCAGGGCTTGTCTGAGTTCAACTCACTCCAAGATGAAAGCCAGTATTAAAATTGTACCAGACACTTAAACACCTTCATTAAAAGAGATAACTAAAATTCTCTATAGCCAAACTTCAAACATCCTGAGCAAGTCTAAACAAAATTCAGCATAAAACATGTTTTTGCACACATTGTCTTTGAACATAACAAAAAATACAACTGGGGAGAACAGATCAAGGCTAGGGTTCTGAAATATTTTTACATGAAAGACAGAGTTTCATTAGATAATATAGGTCAGCCTGACACCCACCCCCTCCCTTAATATATAGATGAATTTTAACGTGGAGTGCCATTTTACGTCAGAGTTACACACGATATTGACACAGCATTGACATCTCTGAGAACTGATTAGACAGTAGGATTGCAACAAGGAAAATGTAGCACAACTGCCAAAACAATGCCTTCCAGAAATCAAAACCCAGCAGTTTTCCCTTTCCAAAAATACAACTACAGTTTGAAACATAATGACTATATTCCAAACTGAACACAAGTTTGGCATGCACCACTGTACATTTCTAGCATATTTTAAGAAAGACACACAAAAAGCACATTAATTTCATCATATGTGCATACTATTTATGCATGTCAAGTTCCCTTCATGCTTTAATTATAACTTAAGTGAATAAAGCACCTTCACTGCATAAATTAAAAATACTTATGCTTCAAAGCATAAATTAAAATTAACTTCTAAGATACAGTCTAAAACTGTCTGGTCTAAAAAAACCTCACAATAATCCCCACATTTATTTACACAAGTACTGTTTTAAAATTTACTTGTCTTTCTTATCTCAGGAAACACCTTACTATTTTAAATAAGTGTTAACAATTCAAAGTACTTGAATGTATGCAGAAACTTTTGCTAAAAAGTGGCCAGAGGCTGACAGTTCCCTCCCTTGCAATTTTCATGTTCTAAAATTTGTTTTTGTTCTCCCCTGGAACAAAATCAAACCATTCTGTATAACACAAAACCAGAACTGTCAAAACTATTTTTTTTTTTTTTTAGATCAAACTAGGCTTTTCTATTTAAGAACTACAAACATCTACAAATTCAAATGTCTGCTTAAGCCCAGATCAGGCTTCCATATCTAAATAGGATGATTAAAATTGCTCTAGAGTAACAAAGGGGTTTTTTATGTTGGGCTTGCTTTTTTTTTTTTTATAACTTATAGTAGACTAATTCTTTGTTGCTGTCTGCTACTGCAATGTCCTAATTATTAGGTTGCACAGTGAGAACTCCTTCACTCTTTCTCTGCTTTGAAGAAACAATATACAGCACCAACATTTCATTACACTGGAATACTTTCAATGTGGTTTGCTTTAATGACATAGATGTGACTACCAATTTCTTGCCTTTGAAGTAAGAAGTTTCAGCCTTATTTATAGCATGAATGGTAGAAGCTAAGGATTTTCTTCCCACTTGCTTATTAAAAATGAAAATAAAGACAAAAGATGGTTGTTGGGAAAACAACATACCATAAATCAAAGTCAACACACAATGACTCTGGTTCATCTTCTCTTTTACCTAATGATGTATCAGAAAAGGAAATTAAATCTAACAGTCAACTTCTTCATGAGATCTAAAGCCGGTCTTCTTAATTTACTAAAAAGCACTCACACTAATTATCTGGATTTTGGCTCTAACAATAAAAAATTAGGGAAGTCCTGGATTCCTCTCATCTTGATGAGGTAATCCTTCATTCACAGCAGGCTGTACCGTAACAACTTACACACATACTGAGGCATCCTCACGCACAGCTAAGGTACCATAAGAACTACCCCTGTAACTCCTCCAAGCTCTCATGGTGCTACTGTCCTCCTAAGCCAGGGGTGGGCTGAGGCAGGTCAGGATGCAGCAGCAGAGAGTGCAGATCATTACCAAATCCCTCCACACATCACTGGATTTCACTCCTTTACAATCATATTATTGGGAGAAAAACAGGACCTGATGAAACATCAAAAGTTTCAAACATTAAAAGCAAGGAACATGAACCAGACCAGCTACAACAAGCTGAACAAGTGCATTTGATTCTCATGACACCTGTCCCAGCCAAAGTTTAGATATATTGTACCCATGGCTGACCTAAAAGCCACCTTGATCATGAGACTTGCAATGCAAATCAAGTGGTCAGAGCTTTCTATGTAGTCTGTTTTTCCTTAAAGTGTACATAAACTCTAAAATGACTACTGCTAAATATTTTGGGCAGGGTGTTGCATTCCTTTCAAAAGATTTTAACAGGCTAAATAACTGATAGCTTATAGTCTTCACTCCAGCCTCTGTACCAAGCTACACTACAGTTGTGCTAACCTTACTGAATCCTTCATCTTCAAGAATATTTCATTTACTGACTTAGAATAATTTTGTTTCACCTTCCACCTCCCAACACTGTAAAGGAATTTTCTCAAAATTCATGAAAATGCAAACCTTTTGCACAAGAAATCATTGTCATCACCATTATAACTTGAGACTTCAACTAATGGAACAGAGGCCCAGGACAGCAAAAGACAATTGGAGTGGACAAAATAAAATAAACAAATTCCAGCCTCTGTCACTAAAGTAGAGGGCTGGGAGAATTGTCTGTACAAAAGTCGGAAGAATCCTCTCCTGACTGGGAGGCTACAGTCAGGAGCCTCAGAGTGAGCTTGGACCATTAGTGGTAGAGAAGAGGAGCAGTGAAGAGTCAGTGGGGTTTACTGGAAGCTTTTGGTGACCTTTGGCGTTCGAGGAGGGTGTCAGGAGGTGAGCACATCTACGAGGGCTATGACAGTACAAGCCAGCAGCTTAGCAAAACCTGTGGAAGCTTACAAGCTCCTGAGGATAGAAACTGCAGGAGGCAGAGGTTAGATGTTGTGTGAGAGGTTGAGGGAGATATTTCAGGTAACCCCAAACCCCACAGTCCCCCTTCCTCCACTGAAGAGGGTCTCAGAAATGACTGTCCAATCTTCTTCCACTGGAGAAGATCCTAGTCATCCATGACTCCCCACAGCTGCTGTCAAAGAAGCAGCAAGGACTATGTTTACTGTGTCCCTACTTTACAAACCATACTGTTTACTGTGCAGGGGCAAGGCAAGGCTAAACTGGTGATTGTGGCTGCTGGAAGATGGAGAGAATAACTGCTGTGACTGGGAGAGGCTGCTCTTCAGCAGCTGCCATACACGTTGACAACCCATAGCACTGTCAACCAGAAACTCTAGGTGAGGATAATCTATCCTGACACACTCCAGCTCTTTCAGCAAGATAGGCAAGATAAATATGGGGTAGAAAGTTGCGAAGGCTCTAGTACCTTCTTTTGAAAAGAAACTTCACTGTTTTGCAACCCTGGGCAACTGCTTACTTCAGAACCTCTCATTCAATATCTAAAGTAACTCTGTGGCAACAGAAGATCAGCAATGAAGCTGTACTGGGCAGCGTAACAGGCTTCTGAGCTGGATGGATGCCTAATTGCTACCAAGTTTTTGAAAGCAAGTCAACAAACTCTTTTTTTAGTTGTTTTCCCTGATACTCAACTGACACCCTTCCTTTCAGGTTATATTGGTTGAGAAAGTCACTGTTGGTACTTAACAGCAAAAGCTTTCAATCAAGATTGCAGCTATTTAAAGATCGTGAACTACCATTACTGAAACCATAGAAAAAAGCAATCCTGCCAAAACATCAGTGCTCTACACAAACACGCAAATAAAGTTATGTTCTTAAACATCCTTGTTTAATGTATTGTGCTTAACAGATGGGTTCAGTGCCTCTGCCTGGGAGAGAAGGTAACCTGCGGTATGAAGCCACTGGAATGAAGGACAGCAAGTCCCAGCAACGCCGGAGGCCGGCTGCTGGAAGGAAGCAGAGGTGGATAGGCCGGTCAGCACCCCAAAAATCCGGCTGACAGTCGCACGATCCCCTCAAACACTCCCAGCTCCGATCAGAGCCAGCTTGCCGGCACATCAGGGTGGGAAAAGTGATTACTCATGCCGCCGGAGAGCAGGGCAGCGGGAGCGGGGCCGAGCCTCACGACCCCTCCGAACCGGGCTCCGTGCTCCTACCTGGGGGGCCGCGAAGGCGGCGGCGGGCGGCGGCCCGCGGGGACGCGTCTCCTCCTCCTCGGGCGAGTCGTCCAGCAGAACTTTGCTGCTCTTGTTGAGCTTCCACATGGCGGGCGCGGGGGCGGCCCCGCTGCGTCCCGGCAGCGA